TTCTCCCTCTCCCCATCTTCAATTCGCCCGGAAATCTGCTTTCCACTTCCACGTATGCTATCTCCGTGACTCCATCTGCGATTCCCCTCCCAAATCTGATCTATCCCTGAATTCAAATTTTTTATCTTCCCTCTCGACTTTTGTATTTACCATCTTAAAAAAATTTCCTTCCAATCAAATTTCTCTCTCATTTTCATTATCATCATTTTGAAGAATTGGATTATTGCACAGTGCCACTGTGGTGCTAGAATGCAGTTCGTGGCCAGTTGGAGTATTCACAAATCATGAAGTTTGGGAATACCATCTTGCCATCTTGGTTTGGAAAATCCGGTGCGTTTCTTTACAAATAATAGAAAACTACTGGGTTTTTATTAAATTTTGATGGAACGTGTGCAGACCTTTGAAATTTGAAAGTGAGTGATATTTGTAGCATTTAGTTTTTGTCTATCTATATTATTTTTAATTTTATATTTTATATTTTTTTTCTTTGTACTTATGCTTTTCTGAAATGCTGGTTGTAATCTATTTTTTTTGTTTTTGTTTATACTTATGCTTTTGTGAAATACTGGTGAATGTAATCTGTTGAGAAACTCATAAATAGAAGTAAGTTTGTGACCTGTCTGGTGGAGGTGGCACTTTATTATTAAAATTCAATTCTGTGTATCACTTTATACATTTATACAGATGTGTTAATCTCTCTCTACATTTCTGTTGTATGTTTGTGTCCAATGGTAAGCTCTGTGATGAACTCATGGTATGTAGTGGTAATTTAATTGATTACTCTGGTTAAGAAATCTACAATTTCAGCTTCCAAGTCTATATATATATATATATATATGAAAGATTCAGCAGATTATCGCATTAATTTCATGGCCAGTTGTGGTGATTTATCTCTGAGTTAATGTTTTGATTTGTTATGTGATTAATCAGGATGTGGTGGACTCGACCCTCGTACCTCCAGCTAGAACAATGCCTACCGGGACCTGTATGCAGAAGGAAAGGCGAAATCTAGAAAACAAGGGAAATTCTCTTAAACCTAAGAGGATTGGTAAGTTTTCTGAAGATTTCTTTTCATGCCAGTTGTTACTGATAATTTCTGGTCTCCTTCATTTGGAGAGTTACACATGCGCTTTGGGAAATGTTTATTCATTTGGACCAAAATTCTTAGCTAATAGATTAGAGTCCAAGAAATCATTAGCTGAGGCGTGGATGGTCGAGCTTGACGTTGGCTTTCTCACAATTAGAGGTATGATTTTTCTTTCTGTTCACATTGTATGAAATGGCTTAAACCATATAGGATCTCACTCCTGTAAGTGGTTTTAAGTCTAGAAATTTTTCTTTTGTTTCTGTCGCAGTTTCAGATCTGTGGATCGTCCAAATGCCCTTTGAAGTATATGTGCAAATTATTTTTAGAGAATAGTACTGAAGATTTAAATTTTTCTTAAAAGACTACGGAAAATACTGTTGTGGAACGCCTTCAATCGATTGGATGTATGCGTTTTTTATATTATTTTGATTTTTTTTTTCATTATTCCGTATGTATATTTTGAATGATTAAGTTTCATAGAACAAAACAATTGTTGTTATTATTTTGATCATCTTCTCTATGCAAATAAATCTTATTTTTGATTTTTTGTGTTCTGTGTTTAGTTAGCATTTTATATGAAAATTAGTTTGGTCTTTGAAATAGTTACCTTATACGGTAATTAATATTTATGGGATGTCGGCATAAGTTTTACTTTATATTTTCTTTTGTTAATTAATTTCCACCAATTCAAATAGCCATTAATGTGTATGATTATAGGTCTGCAATCAAAGTAATAAATTATCTTTGTGTGTGACATATTATGTGCAATTAACTACTACTAGGTCTCATGGGACAAAGCAAGTTTAAAGCATTTGTATACTCATTGTTGTGTCCGAAATAATAATTTTTTATTTGCTTAAATAACAAGCAGTGTGTTGTTGAGTCCAATGGTTATGGCTGTTTAAAATCAATATGGAGACCTGGTCTGCTCCTCACTTCAGCACTTGCGATTCTCCATTATGGCAGGTGTGGATAACATTGAAGGGGAAGATAAAGTTCAAAATCACCTCAAACCATGAATCGGAAGAGAAACTACTTGAAAAACATTTCAGTGATACTGAATAATGAATGCAAATATGGAGTTACTGCAAGTCGGAAATCTACTGTTGTCCAATTTCCTGGTCAGGCAACTCTAACAAGCACAATCCTGGAGTGATCCTTAAGTGTCAAAGGAAAGACAACAGAGGATGGACAGAAGTTTCAAGCAGCAGTGTGATAGCATTTTGAGAGTCATTGATGGAGCACCCTCAGGGATTTGCTTTCAATCAACCAGTTGATCCTGTGAAGCTGATTCCTGATTATGTAATCATTGAACCAATGAATTTAGTAACGATAAAGTGTAAGCTAGAGGACAAAACATACTTTTATGAAGAGGAATTTGCTAGTGATGTTAGTCTAACTTTTTCAAGTGTGATATAGTACAATCCTCTCGGGAACTATGCGAAGGAATTGAATGTGATATTTTCAGTAGGAGATAGAAATTATTGAAGACAAAATTGAAGTGCATGTGAAGAAATTTCGAACAGTCATGCAATGTAGATGGAACAGTAAAGAATGCCCAAGATACAAAGGCTACTATAGAAAAGAAAGGCTAAAATGCAAACCAGTCTTGCCTTAACAAAGCTTGAGGGAGCATCAGTCTTTCGAACAGCAGGCCAATGTCATTGGAGGAAAAGAGAAATTTAAGGAATAGAGCTTTTGAAAATATCAAGCAGAAAGAAGACGGAAACTATTAGGTTCGTGTTCCAAAATTTTTTTATGGCCAGATTGCAAGAAGAATAACACGATTCTTATATTCATGTGATTAACGATGAAAATTACTGAAGCTGGAAAGATAGAGCGATAAAGGTTCTTTGGATGCAACGGAAAACAAGAAGACTAAATTTAATGGTGCAGACAATTTGGGTGTGTGATTCTTTCTTCCTCTAGCAATTCTGTGTAGTTTTTTTTTTTTTCCCAATTGCCACAATATTGTCCTGCCTTCTCTGCACTATCCGTGTTATGTTAATCCTTGTTAGTTGTTACAAGACCTTTCTTTACATATATCCTTGATTCTGTAGGTTTTTCTGAACAGGTAGAGCCTGCAAAAACAACACAAAGTGGGCGCCAGGCTAGTGAATACTTTTCATAAGGGTTAGAGACTCGACAGAATAAGTTTGTGCTTTCTGGTTCGTTCCACGACCTGATTGGCCATGTATCTTGTATGCAGATAATGGCAATCAAAGTGCATTTGCTGCTTCTGATAGAAAACAACCATTTGATTTCCCTGCAGTCAAATGTGCTGCATGTGGTAGTCTGATGTGCCAATGAAGCCTTAGATGTTCTGTTAAGCCATCTTTCAGTCATGAGTTAAATTCTTATATCTGCGGTTTGTATGTTCCATCGGCACTCCTGTCAGCCAATTTGGAGTGCTTTTCATCTTTATTCAGATTCTTCTTCAGGAAGATCATGATCGTGATCACTATGGTGATTCTATATCTGTAAGTTTCAGCGTGTTCTTGTTACACCAAATATTTTTATATAATATAATGTGCAATTTTTGGCTGATTGTCGCCCTGTACTTTTACATCAGGATTGTCAGCTTAAATATCCCGTGACATCTCATACAAGATGATTAAAGCTGGATTCTAGTGGTGAGAGCAAAAGCTGTTAATTATATGTTTGTAATTGTGTAGCTAGTTTTTTGATTATTTGAGCTTTGACACGTCACTGCCAACGGATTGTAGGACATGAAAATGTTTCCAATTAACACCTACTGAGAGATATCTTGTTTCCCACGAGGCTTGATGGAAATCTTTCATTTTTCTCAGTCTGATTATGAGTCTTATCTGTAATCCCACATGCACACAGATACATGCATGCAATGTTCTAGATGTAAGAAAATGATGTCAGTTTTCCCCCCATCAAATTCCAAGATCCGAACTATTGAACCTTAGAAATATGAAGACTTTATTTATCTTGTGTATTTGTTTTAGGATGGACTTCGCTTGTTCATATGTTGCAAAACAAGGCTTTGCATGCTGCAATTCTAGATACTATCTTCAGAGCTACACATGAGATTCTCTTGGATCATGTAATGAATTTTTATTGCTTGCAGAAATTTTTGCATAAATACTAGTTGGTTGAGCTCTTTTCGTTTTGTGGACTTACTAGTATATCTGTTTTGTTGATCTTCGTTCAGGACGAGAAGATTAATCCTGTGAATGGGCAGAAAGAAAAGGGAAGACTGGAAAGGCAGGAGCGTGAAGGTGATCTAGGCATATCCTCGATCCAACATTATGGTTTACTGTCGTATTTTTGTGCTAAAAAAATTTCCATCCTATGAACCTTAGAAATTTTTCGTATGATTTTTGCCTTACTTGGCTTTTATTATCACGTGAGTAGAAATGCTATTTGGCACTAGTGGTGCTAAGACACGATAAGTCCAATTAAATAGGTTATATATTCTTTCATTAACTTATAATTGGACTTATCCTTTAATGCCAACTAAACTAAAACAAATTAAATTGGTGTTCTAGCACTCTATATAGCATTATTCTTATCTTGTACTTAACTTTATTTTCTTGATGGTCAATAGATGTTGCTCAAGACGCAGCTGGATCACATCAAAGTAACAAGGAATCTTCAGCTTCAAAATAACTGCAGAATTTCTCAGAGAAAGAATCACACCAATTCATACGACCAAATTGTCGGCACCATTGAATTTATCACCTTTCCTTTTATTTCGTCCAAAGAAATCTTTATTGCTCTTTCTTTCCAGCTCCAAAAAAGTTTCATCATCGATCATGTCAATATAAGAATCGAGTTTTTCTTCTTTCAGTCTGGCCATACAAAACTTTTGGAACGTGGACCTTAAAGTTTCGATCATTTTTCTGCTTGTTATTCTCGAAAGCCCTTTTTCCTCGAATTTTGCTTTTCCTCTTAAAGACAGTGGCCTGTTGTGGCGGTGAAGCAATTATGGCAAGATTGTTTTGCATTTTGGCCTTTCTTTTTTATAATGGGCTTGTATCTTGGCCATTCTTATCACATCTACATTGCATAACTGTTCGAGAATTCTGCCCGTGCACTTCAGTTTTGTCTTCAGTAATTTCCAACTCCTTAAACCGTCATTCAATTCCTTTGCACAGTTCCCGGGAGTATTGTAGTTCATCACATTGAAAAAGTCAGCTTGACATCACTAGCAAATTCCTCTGCATCAAAGTATGTATTGTCCTCTAGTTTACGCTATATCGTTCCTAAATTCATTGGTTACATAGTTATTGGAATCAGGAGATCAACTGGTTGATTTAAAGAAAATCCGTGAGGGTGTTCATCAATGATCTCAAAATGCTACTACACTACCGTTTGAAAGTTCGATCCATCCTATACTTTCTTTTTTCCTTTGACACTCAAGGATCACTCAACCTTACCCTTGTTAGAGATATTTGACTGAATTTGATTTTTCATTTTCATTTAACTCCATCTATGCACTCATAATTCAATCACTGTAATGTTTTTTACGTGATTTCTTTTGTGATTCATGCTATATTCCTTCTGAGGTGATTTTGAACTTTATGATCTCTTTAGTGTTATGCATACCGGCCCCAAACTTAACCTCGTGATATATTGGAGAATTGCTTAAAGGATCCAATATGACTCCACGGTCCCTTTTCATGAATTCTTACGTTGATGTCCTTTTTCTGTATTTTTAAAAATGAAAAAAAAAAAAATCAAATCATAATCAGCAATAGAAAACCTGTTGGGGATATTACACCGATAATGTGCATATTATATTCACAAAAAACATACTGTTTATATGCGTGAAATCGAAACATAATTCGACTTACCAAAATTGTTGAGAAGACGACATAATGATTTACCTAATTCGAATACATGAATATGGACTCGTCACTTTTCATTTTTGAATGAAAGCATATCATTGAAATTGCAATATAAACATATAAACAAGTTTAACAATATTCTGAAATTAAACATTATTGAAATCAGAAATGAGAAAGATAAGGAAAGAAGAGATGTTAGTAATGTGATTGGTCGAGGCAAGTGTTGAACACTTTTTCCATAAGATGGATTTGTCTTGCATCGGTAGGCTTGTCAAGATGGGCGAGCTGCCCGGCCTGCCCAGGCCCACCCGGAGGTGAATTGGCTCGCGATTCAGCCCATGAACCGTGTGAACCGGTCCGGGCCGGTTCAAGGTGTACCCGACCAGCGGTTAACCGCCGCTGGCCCGGTTTTAAAAAAAATAATAATAATTAAAAAAATTAAAAATTGCGCCTGCAGTGTTCAGAACGGTCACGAGACCGTTCTGAAATTTTTTTTTACTTTTTTTTTTTTTTTTTTTTTTTTTTTTTTTTTTTTATTTTTTTTTTTGGTTTTTTTTTTTTTTTTTTT